AGAGTTCTTTTCACTGGTCCTACCCGGCCAAGCCCAACCACTGAAAAACAACCCCACACTATAATCCCCTCTCCATCAAAATTTACACTTGGCGCAATGCAATCAGGCAAGTAACGTTTTCCTGGCAACTGGTTGTCCATCGGATTGTCAGACAGAGAAGCATGATTCGTCACTCGAGAGAACACTTCTCCACTGCTCTAAAGTCCAGTGGCAGCGTGCTATACACTGCATCCGATGCTTTGCACTGCACTTGGTGGTGTAAGGCTTGGATGCAGCTCCCTGACCATGGAAACCTATTCCATGAAGCTCTCTACACACTGTTCTTGAGCTAATCTCAAGGCCACACAAAGTTTGGAGGTCTGTAGCTATTGACTCTGCAGAAAGTTGGTGAATTCTGTGCACTGTGCGCCTCTGTGGGCTGAGTTGCTGTTGTTCCCAATTGACCTATGGCTAAGCCACGCCCTCAAACGCGATAAGCCAATCACAGTGCGCAGCTAACCCAATACACTCTGACATTCTCTGTTTCCACGTCCATTGAAAAGCATTGCAGTTAGTCGGTTTCCATTCGTTTTTTCTTGTCATTTTAAGTTTAAAATGGTCAAACGGTTTGTATATGGTACATGCAACTCCAACATTCGGTTCCTGAGAGGCTGGCCGACTGTGTGTATTTTTTTTACCCTTTCCCAAGCCACATCTCAACCAAATTAAGTGTCTGTTCTGGATTAAGTTATGCGGTAGCTAGACCACAATACCAACTAAACATGGATAAATTAAACAAGGATGTCCACATCTGTTCTAAGTTAAGTCAACAACGTATTAGAACATTATCTTTAAAATCTCTAACGTAACGTGAGGCTTACATTAAAAAATGTTAATGTTAGCTTCTAGCTGCGTTGTACATCAAGGCTATGTTCACACTGCAGGGCTTAATGCTCAATTCCGATTTTTTGAAAAAATTTGTTGTTGTTTTTTTTGCAAGGCCATTCACATTTCCAATTAAATGCGAACTTTTGTGATCTCCTGTGTGAACGTGAAATGACCCAAAAGTGACCCACATGCGCAGAAGAGTACTCAACGGTCAACGATGTCACTTGTTGTTTGCGGAAGTAGCTAAATGGATGTCGACAGTGGAGCTTGTTTAGCAATATTAAAGTTATTTTCACAACAGAGCCAGCACACTTACAATCTTCTCGTTTTAAGAAGAAAATTAAACAGAGAAAGGTGTGGGTGCGGAGTCGCAGCCAGGAGGGGTGGGATACTGATGTGAGTGGCTTCACTGATATAGAATTCATCAGTAACTTCCGAATGACCAGATCCACCTTCGATTATGTTTGTGAGAGCCTTCGATCAACTCTGTCATGGAAAGAGACACGTCTGCGGCGGCCCAAAACCGCGCAGAAACGCGTTGGAGTTGGAGTGTATTGGCTGGCAACAGGTGCGTGCAATGACGTGCGTGTTGGATATATTTGTGACCTGGCCGTTCAGATTGAAGTCGCATTTCAAAAGATCGGATACATATCGAATTTTACATACCCACACACCCAAGTGGCCTGAGTCGCATTTGAAAAGATCGGATCTGTGTCGTTTAGACTGTCATGAAAAGATCAGATACAGGTCGCATAGGGGCAAAAAAATCGGAATTAGGTCATTTCAGCCTGCAGTGTGAACGTAGCCTTTGCTTCATTAACGTATATCTGTAAATTACAGAGATAACAAATGTTATCAATGTTGTGCTGAATGATTCATGTAAATACTGTAGTACCAAACGGTGATGGCAACGATATGCGGGTTATCACGTTTTTACACTGTGACCTGTACATTTTTTGCCTGGAGCTGAAGCTTTTCATCAACCTTCTGAACAGTAAAATGATTAATATAACCCCCCAATGCATAGTTAAGGCGCTTTAGGTGACTTCGGGATGATATATAATCTTTCTGTCTCCAAAAATCACCAATGGGATATATGCACGCATAAGTTCCGCATTTGACGCAAGGATGCTCGTCCATTTCCGGTTGTGGAGATTAAAGCGGAGGAAAACCGAGGAAAACGGGATTATGGCAGAGTCTTCAAAATTTACTGTCCTCCCGTCTTTGAAACGAAACGTACATACGTTTAGATGTAATTTTATAGTTATGTTTATTTAATATAATTTTAAAAAGAAGCATAAACACAACGAGGGGTGTCTGTTTTATCTGTTTTTGTGACTAACGTTTCTTTAGTATAACCATGGAGTATAAAATTCAGTATAAATTCTCGGTATTGCATTGGACTCTATGATCGGCGGAAGTTATTGAGCATCCTTACACCTTCACTGGAAATACCGCCATGCATAGAGCCCATTGCCTCCTGTGAAATGTCTCCTACTGTGACCACTGTCATAGCGCCTGTCCCCGAATGTTGACTGTTTGTCCGAGTAATTGGAGGGGGCGTGGCCTAGCCATAGGTCAATTGCTTATTCCACAGGTGGCAACCTATCACGATTACCACGCTTGAATTCACTGAGCTCCTGAGTACTACCCATTCTTTCACAATTCTTTGTAGAAGCAGTCTGCATTAGGCATGTCAATTTTCACTAATTCCCATCGATCGATTGTGGTTTAAATTAACGATCTATTAATCGATTAAACATTAGCATTAAAGGCAAACAGCATTACAGGGACTGCAAATGCTGCTCAAAAAGCTATGTTCCTCACCAAATTAATAAGAATGGTTTTTAATCTAAATAAAGGGTTTGTATGATTGTATTGATAAATTAAATTAATTATTTAATATATAAATATAACAACACATACAATGTGTCACCAACGCCGCCTCAGATGCGTGCTTGTCAGAATGTGTGACTGTTGTAAACGTGCTGCAGCAACACACTGAAAATGGCAACTAAACCCAATGAATTCACAACCATTTAATAAAACAGTGTTCTCATGTTATGTAATATGACAGTCCCAAATTAACCATCGATATTATTAGTCGTGCATTCTGCTTGAGCGGTGTGCGCTGAATGAATAACCATTGAGCACTTTGTTAGCGTTTATTTAACTCAAAGAAACGCATCCTATTTGATATTAATCAGATATAAGACATAATATTACAAAATTATATCTGCACAAAATGACGTGAATGCAAAAGTGAACTTGAACTAAGTTACGTGCCATTCAGATGACTCATGTTCAGATGACGCGCTCTTCCTGAAAAAATGTGACATGGTATCTAAACCCAAATAATTCACAATCTTTTATTAAAATATTGTTCTCTTTATAATCTTGTGTAATATGACATTCCCAATAGTCATTATTAGTCGTGCATTGTCGTTTGAGCTGAGCGCGCTAAAGATCACGTCAATCTTAACCAGATGCATCCAATATTAGAGAAATCAGATATAGATAGGCGTACACAAAATAAAATATTAAACTTACATTTGCACAAAACAAAAGGCTGCAAATGCACACGCAAACTTATAGTCATGATGAAGGTGTAAAATAGTCCCAAACAACTCCGGTGTGTGTCATTCAGTGGGACTCAACAGTTCACACCGGTGTGGTGAAGAGATGGGTCCCACCTTAGGACCCAAGCGATCCGATTGGTTCAAAGCTAGTTTTATGGGTAAATGCTTTAGTGCCTGGTTACAAATTAGAGAAAATCAGTTTATTATAAGAGACGTTTGAAGTACTTGATAAAAGCAGTTTGTTGCCATCAAGTAATATGTTTATTTGTTAGCGCTTTTCAAGTAACACGTTTATTTGTTTAGCGCTTTTCATAGTAGGTTGCGTCAACAGCAGAGGAGAAAGTCCGCGAAATTTAAAAATATTACTGTTATTGTGTCATGAAATGTAATTTTAAGAGTTTTTAAGTCGAATATAGTTGTTTACAGCTCAAATCTGTGGTTTATTTATAAAGATTGCGCCCTTTTAAAACATTGTTCTGACGTTTTCGGAGTTGTCAGAACCAGGGATCAGCAGCAACAGCTTTAACTCGGCTAGTCATTCTGACGTTTGCCACGGATAAATGCTATGCTACTATGTTAATGCTAATAATGCTAGGCTAACTAAAAAACAATAAGAAGGAGAAATGTTTAAATTTACAATCTACAGCTTCGGTTATACTAGTATATGAAACTTATAAGTTAAAATACATTAATGACTCCTTATAACATACTTCAAATATCTCTTATAATAAACTGATTTTCTCTAATTTGTAACCAGGCACTAAAGCGTTTACCCATAAAACTAGCTTTGAACCAATCGGATTGCTTGGGTCCTAAGGTGGGACTCATCTATTCAGGGAGACTCATCTCTTCACCACATCGGCACGCTCGCTTACATGTTTTGCGGTTGAGCAGCACGCACGCGCATGATCCTGCTTAATCGATGATCGATAAGTTTTATCGATTAAATGTATTATTGAAAATGAATCGATCGTCGATTAATCGTTGACATCCCTAGTCTGCATGCATTGCCTTGGTGTTTGATTTTATACAACTGTGGCCATGGATGTGATTGGAACACCTGAATTCAATGATTTTGAAGGGTTCCCCACTACTTTTTGTTATATAGGAACGTGTGTCTGTGTTTTTTGTTAATGTGATCCGTGTCGTTTATTTCCTACTGTGTTACACAGAAGAATGAAAGATATATATGATTGGCATGATATAAGGGTGATGACAGAATATTCTGTTTTTGGTGCAGTGTCCCTTTAAAACCTGCATCACATTATGTCAAAGACATTCTCCGGTTGATGTTTTCTACGACATGCAAAATAAAATAAAAAATTATGATTTTTTATTAAAGAATAAACTTTTTGTGGCATTTGCAGTGGCGTTGCTGTTTTGCTGCTGTCTTTGTTTTTTATCTCACAATCATTTCTTCTGAAATTTCCTTACTTCACTTTTCACAGTCCTCCTCTCACTTTACACAATTTAGTATCTGTACATTGTTACTTCATGACTTAAGCTGACTTAAACATGTAAGCTTGATGATTATTTGTGTATCATTGGCAGCATCGAAGGACTGCGGACCTTCTGTGGTGGTCCACACCAGTGTGCCCTTTGGCATCCAGCACCTGGAGGAGGAAAAGAATGTGGTACAGCCCATCATCCTGAAAGAGCTGGAAAAGGTGATGCCAGAGCTTCCTGAACCTGACAGCATCAAGTGTCAGAAATGGAGGTACTCACAGGTGAGACGACATTAATCTGTTTGTGAAAATTTGAAAAGAAAAGAAACTCAAATGAACACTACCATTCAGAAATTTATTTAAAATAAAGGATTACTTTTCAAAGCAAACAGTAGGGGCAAAGGAGTGCCTCCTGGACTTCAAAGCTTGGTTAAAATAGAGGTGCTCTTTGGATGGGAAACTGAATATGACGAAAAAGCAAGAGGACTCCAAGACACTCTCAAATAGAAAAGTTAAAAAGCCTTTATTACCATGGCCTGGTCAAATCAACCATCTAAAAAACTCCGGCTACATGCCTTCGTTTCGGCTACATGCCTTCTTCTGGCATTCTGGCAATAAAAGAATTAATTTTATTCAGCAAATTGGTCAAAAGTGACAGTAAATATATATTTAATAATACAGACTCTTTCTATTTCAAATAAATGCTGTTGTTTTGAACTTTTTATTCATCAAAGAATCCTGAAAAACTATATTGTGGTTTTCACAAAAATGATAAGCAGCACATATATAATATAATATAATATAATATAATAAAAATAAAAACAGTTGATTTAAATTGTAATATTTCACAACTGTTCTTTCAAAAACTTTTTTTAGTGGTAAAGTAGTGCAATTATAATGTGTATTGTTATGAGTGTTAGAATGTTTTCCATACTTGAAGACTATGTGGACTGAAACAGAATTCACTGTGAACGTTAATGTTAGATAGTTAGATCTTAAACGATAACTATATATAGTCAGTTTTTATCATCCCCTGTTCCATCTCATCATGGGTCAGTCCTTTATAATTAATCTATAATATAATCTATAGTTTGAAAATAATCCATCCATTATTTTTAGATTTCATTTTTATTTTATCTAATTTCTCTTATTATCTTATCCCTACATTTTGAATTTTCTGGAGAAAAAATAGTTTTCCTTTAGTAAGACTCCACTCTGTGTAATCTTTTATAGCAAGAGCGAAACTGAGATGTTTTGGCTTATTCAGGCAAGTGCTACTAATAAAAGCCTCACTGCTATACAGCAAAAGACATACATTTTTAATAAAGCCAGACTGATGGCTTCTTCAAACCTCACTATTGAATGGAAAGAATTTTCTGCACTGCAAAAAAAAAAAACTCCTACTGTATAGTTATTTCTTTCTGTTTTCTTGTAAAAAAAATAAATAACCAGATTTACTTGAGAAGCAACAATGCACAATATAAGACATATTTTCAGATATTAAAACTTTGACAAAAAGTTATTTAAGCATAAACCTTTCTAAATTTTGTTCGAAAATAAACCTAATTTGACGCATTGTTTTATTATCTTGCAATTTCTGGCAGTTATTCTTCTCTAATAAATTAGAAGTAGACGATGGATAAAAATATACATTTTTACCGGAAAACAGACAAAATACAGATTAAGAAAACACGAAGAGTTTTTCAGAAGAGTCTTGGTAGATTTACACACATAGAAATCCATATTCTCCCCCCACTCACTTGGCTCACACACACACAATCTTACAGTAGTACTTTATGCATTCACACACTGTGTGGGACTGCGCCCTTTCTTGCAAAGTTGCATTCTCTCTCACACACACAGACATTTTCTTTCGAAGCCCCCACACTCTCATCTCCTCTGTGACATGCAGCGTTGGGCCTCAGTTTGAGGTCAGAGGACATAGAACATCTGTGTGGGAGCGCTGAGCTCGCTGAGTGCCAGAGAGTGGGCCAAGGCCCGTTTAGACTGCACAACGCTTACACTCTCTCTCTCTCACACACACACACACACACCTGTGCACGTGCCAGTTCCTGGTCAAACACACAGAAGGCATGGAGCAGTCAGTCTTGCAGTCATTTACCACATCACAGTTTGCTGAGCATAAACCGGCAGCACACATTCGCACTCACCACATGTCAAAGTCATTGACTCCTCTGGACTCTAATGGCTGGAAAGACTTTTCATGAGTCATGACTTTCACTCTACTGTAAATGTAGATGCTTTTTGCAACAGGCACAACACTGTTTGAGCGTAGAACATGTGCATTCCTTTTGTTATCGCTCATGCTTAATAATGCATGACTTCAATTCATAAATAAAAGGCATGGTAGGGTCTAGGAGTATCAATAATTTCATTAAAAATAATTTTAAAAAATGTGTAGGATTTAGGACTGTCAATTGAATGTGTTGATTTTGTGTAATTATTTTAAATTATACAACAATGTATGCGATTAATCATGCTTCTTGGCCTGACCTGTCTATAATAAACGTATCTAAAGACCTAACACAGAAAAGTTTGAACATTAAGTTGCAACTAGGGTTGGGTATCGAGAATCGAGTATCGATTGGAACCGGGACTAACTTTTCGTTTTTCCCGGAATCGTTCAAAAGTAAAAATTTCGATTCCTAGTTTTGATATTCACAGAAGAAGAGCGGAAGAAGAAAAGCACCTTATTTGCACCTCCAAAGCACCTTATTTGATTGCTAGTTCAAACTTTTGACTGCTTTCTTTAATAATTACATGACACAATACTTGTACTTTTACTCAAGTCCGGGTTTCTAGTACTTTATACATCTCTGGGCATGACACACTTGTCCATGTTTGAATTGGCCTAATTTGCTGTCTTCAAGTGACGGAAATTTGTGCCAAAATATTAGAACTGATTGGACGCACAGCCTTGAACGCCATCAAAAGATATTACAAACCTTTTCTTCTCCCTTTTAAATTTGATAAGCTTATTTTTTTCCTATCGTAAATGGATTATTATACATTTAGCAGACGTTTGCATTTAGCATTCAGAACAGACGTACGCATGACTATTTCATAAATTAATGGTATATGTGGCAAATGCTGGTCAAAGTTATGCAACTTGCTGCAACAAAGGAGTAGTTCACTTTAAAATTAAATTAATTTACTCACACAAAGTTGTTTCAAACCTGTATGAATTTCTTTATTTGAACACAAAAGAAGATATTTTGAAGAAGAATTTTTTTTCTCTACTATTAGGGCTGTGAAACGATTAATCGCGATTAAAGTTTGTGTTTACATAATATATGTGTGTAGTGTGTATAATTATTTTGTATATATAAATACACATATAAATATATACATATGCATGTATATATTTAAAAAAAACGTGTTATTAATATATAAAATATTTTTTATATTTATGTATAATATTAATTTTGTATAAATATATATAAAGTATATACATGCAACTATTTCTTAAATGTATACATGCATGTGTGTGTATTTATATAAACAAAATAATTATACACACCACACACACATATATATTATGTAAACACAAACTTTTATTTTGGATGCGTTTAATTGCGATTAATCGTTTCACAGCCCTAACTACTATGGAAGTCAATGTGGTACATCAACTGTCTGGTTACTGACATTCTTCAAAATGTGTGAACTATTCCTTTAAATTGAGAAAATAATTTTGTAAGCATCTCTAATAATGGTTTTCTTAAGGTAAAGTGTCAAACTCTGTCACCATTCACTGTCCTTCATTGTATTCCAAACCTGTATAACATCATTTAGATTTTTTGGGGGGGGTTAACTATCGCTTAAGGAGATTGTTGCAACGGGCCCTGCAGTTTGACGCACCAAAGTTCTGACATGCTGGAACTTTAATGTCTGAATGTACACCAGAGTAACGTTGGGGTGAAGCAGATTTAAGGAGGTTAAGGAGTTCAGGCCTACTTACATCAGCGTACCTCTGAAATAAACCAAACAATTTGTTCTTGGCCACGTTTCAGGCCAAACGTTTATTAATTGATTTACACACAGATTACCATTTAAAGATACAAGAAGGGAGGGTGGACAGAATGACGATAGCGCTCGGTCTGTAAGATGCCTTGTTAAAACCCCAGGAAATGGACACTATTTCCTTGGCTCTAGTGCGTTGCACCTTGATGTTTATCTGGTGGAGGTTTGGGGCCGGCTGAAGCCTTTGTAATGGGCCGTGCAGGGAATGTGTTTACTCTCAGTAGTCATTTACATGCTGCATTTCTACGTTTAAACATTGTGCAGAGACGCCATTCTAGCTGTTACTCTTTCGGAGTTATCTGTAAATGTGGATCAGATTTACGGTGAGTATCATGTATCATGTACTGCTGACTGTAGAATACATACAGTACATCATTTTAATGAACCATAGAGGCAGTTTATAAAGAAGTTCAACTAAGATATTTAGTTTGCAATGCAACATGTCTGTCCTCTGTAAATATTAATATGTTAAAACTACAAAGTTACAGCACACCAAACATATACAGAGCAGCCACAGAACATCTGTCTATTACTTTTTACAAACATCTTACTTTCTAAGACTAAATCTCAAAGGCTTAACTTTCAAAAACTTTTTAAAGCTTTTTAAAACTTTTTTGCTTTAAAGTAGGGCTTTAAAAAACTTTGTTTTTCTAGTTATAACCTGGGTCACACATACCATTTGCTCTTTAGAACCCACAACCCACAGAGACAGCGAGTATCATCCAAATTCTGCACATTTTACCATTAAGTCTATTCTTGACTCTGGTTGACCCAATGAAGGCGCCTCCACTGTTAATAAAAGCTCTATATTTAACCAAATATATTAACAGCCCTTTCCCTCCCTCATCTCTTGTGAGAATGTTCATTATGAGGAAACAAATCTGCAGTACAACCAGTAGGAATGGCTTGATACCACTTTTTCATGTCCAATACCAATACAGCAATAGTGTGTAGTCCATCTGCCTTTACCAATACCAATTCTATACCAGTACAGTTTTTTTTCTTGATCAGTTAAGAATTTCTTTACCTCATTACAAATAAAGAGAAAACGGTAACACTTTACAATAAGGTTCATTAGTTAACATTAGTTAATGTATTTACTAACATGCACTAACCATGAGCAATACATTTGTTACTGCATTTGTTCATCTTTGTTAATGTTAGTTCATGAAAATACAGCTGTTCATTGTTTGTTCATGTTAGTTCACAGTGCATTAACTAATGTTAACAAGATTTTAATC